GAGCATGTGTCAGAAAGGTGTCTTCTAATATTGCCCAATGGACGTGACCCATGAATATCCTGGTTAGAATTTATCTTCAGTAACCCATGCTTGTCGTAATAGTCAGCTAACTGGATGGGTAGTCAGGCTCATTGACTTGGTTGATACATGTCGTCGTATCCCAATTGCATAGATTGATGATCATGTTGCTGATCACTGGATTGTCTGGTCCAGAGTCGATTATTTATAGACCGCCGCCATATGGCTGGAATATTGCTGAGTGCGGCGTAAAACAAGAAACCAAACCAAACCCTACGGAGAAGCCTTTTGGTGACCTGTTGCTTTAATGTTGATGGAGTCAGTAGGTTGTTTGACATAGGTGTCTTCTGATGTTTCCTAACTAAACCTTGTTTTGGTGAACTGTTGCTTTAATGTTGTTGATATCGTCAATATCTTGTTTGGGAGAGGTGCCTTCTGATATTTCCTTACTAAACCTTATTTTGGTGCACAGCTGCTTGGTGTTCATACTGCCATAGAATCTAGCATATGGTACATGGTCCACAACCTACAAAACTGGAATGGTGCACTCTGGGAGCAATTAGAGGACTAGTAGCATTTGTGTTTACCATAAATAAAGGGCTGTTGTCAGGACCTCAAGGTGAATACAGATCTATGTCCAGATTGTACTGATAAAGCTGCCGTTCACTGACCCCTCCTGACTCTTCTTAAATGCAGCTGTCTATTGTAGCTTAAATAGGTCACACTGACATACTTCAAATACCTATTTCCCCATGTGATCTAAGTTCTAGGGCAACCCGTTCAAAGACCTAGTTCTTTTAGGATTAATGGGCATTTCTGTTCAGTATCTCTTCTGGTCGTTGCCTGATGGAAGGAAGCGTTGGAGCACATCAATTCAGTGACCTACTCTGGTCATGATAATCTATTTATCTTTTCTATCTTTACCTGCGCGAGAGGTGAGACAGAAAAGCAACATGGGATGTTTATCTTCCTTGTTGCTCCTAATTTGACTTCATAATCTTTTCATCTCGTTCGCTTAGCAAAGTTCTGCCTAATCGGACCCTGGTTTGGACCCAAGCATTCCACATGGCATTTTAGAATATTCTGTTACAGATGGACGAGAAACTATTTTGTTCAGAACTCCAACATGCATGAGTGACACCACATAGCTTTTGATGATATTTGACACTATTTTAAAACACTGAGAATCTGACTAAATACAGGTCCAGTGATGGTTCTCAGAGGTGGGATTGTGCCAGTTGAAGCTGTTATCTAGAACTTTCCATTACAACTGAAAACGTGTCTTCCACAATTGAAAATGTGTTGTCTATGTAGAACACTGAGAACTGGAGATCATTAGCCCTGTCTGGAAAACCAACTACGCTGATCACTAGGAGCTGCTGTGCACTTGGTCCTATGTTGACAATAGTGTGCCGTAACAATAGGAGCTGCAATGCACTTTGTCCCATGTTGACAATAGTCCATGCTGAACACAGGGTGCTGCAATGCACTTTGCCCTATGTTGACAATAGTCCATGCTGAACACAAGGATCTGTAATGGAATTTGCCCTATGTTGACAATAGTCCATGCTGAACACAAGGATCTGTAATGGAATTTGCCCTTTGTTGACAATAATCCATGCTGAACAATAGGAGCCTCAGTGCACTTTGCCCTATGTTGACAATATTCCATGCTGAACACTAGGATCTGCAATACACTTGCAGCTATGTTGACAATAGGGTTCGGTAACAGTAGGATCTGTAATGAACTTTGCCCTGTGTTGACAATAGTCCATGATAAACACTAGGATCTGCAATGCACTTGGCCCTATGTTGACAATAGTCTATGGTAAACGAATGCACTTGGCCCTATGTTGACAACAGTCTATGGTAAAGTCAAGTATATATATGGCCCTCCCTATGTTGACACTAGTCTGTACTGAATCCCTTGTGGCGGCTGTACACTGCGTGCAGCACATATGTGAGCTACAGTAAGACATCTATCCTAACATCATCTCATTAATCTCTTCTGCATCAGAAACTGAACGTGTTCTTTTAGTTCAAAGTACCTGCCACATCCCGTCATATACTTCCTAATCTATTTTCCCAGATATCAGAGTTAGAAACATAAAATCCTCTGAAGTATGGATACTAATGTCCATATCTTTCCCACGCACAGACCGAACCTGTGATAGCTAACTAGCAAATGCGAATGATCTCACTATGTCATACATATTTAAGAATTTCTCTGATGTTTGATTAGAAATGAATATCAGTTTGATAAAAGCCAGAATATATTGAGACATGCTGTGCTAAAATTCTTCCCCTGCCATCGTTTTCTTGTTGTCGTACATAAATTTAGTTTTTAAGGTAGGTCATGTTAACCTTTCGAAGAAGCCCGCGATTCGTGATCGTAAATTTTGAACATGAATCCATCTTATCTTTCTTAATGCAAAACGGTCGAGGTAGATAGGGAGGCAATCTTAGGACATCCCGCTGTGTTAATCGACAGTTTGCCAATAATGCTTGCTACAATCTGAAGATCATCACCTTTATATGCTTCTTACTGCTCTTTGGGTTTCCTGCAGCTGATAATCCGGCAACAATAGTTGACATGCAAAGATTTAAGTTTCTACCACAAGGTTAAAGTTCTGTGGTACTGAAGATGCACGGCCCAAGACAGATGGGAGAAAAGGGAGGGGGTTATTTGAAACGTGTGTACGAATGAAACGATCATCACCATCATCATCTTTGGCAGGACAGAAACTTAAAATACCTCATGTACATCTGTGTTATGCCGATCTAACTTTCCATCCCATACACAATCCTGTACAATATCAGGAAGAACATAAAGCACACTATCAACCATGAACCAAGCCGATATAGAACAGCAGCGATCTCCACAGCAACAGCTCCACTATTGAATGTATAAGGTGATATATGCTATAAATAACGTACCTTTTCCTGAACAAGCGTGGCTCGAAAAGTAATCCAACTGGCAAGACGGTAGAGAGATTGTGTGGGTCCCGGTTGTGGAGGCTAGAGGATACTACAGTCATTACATAACCCGCGTGCGCACGTGCAGTGACGTCATCATGCCGTGCTCATCAGTGGCTGACTTCCGGGTGGGCAGGGGGTACATCATTAGAAATTACTTAATGATATTTACCTGCTGGGGGGTCTCACATGTACCGGTATGTGGCCTTTGCAGGCTTAATTTTCAGAAAATTGAGAGTAAATGTTGAAAATGTAACCTTAAAGAAATATTGTTTTCTGTGGGATTTGGTTTTATAGCTGACATCATCATCAGACTTAGAACTGTTTTAAGACATAAACAGTTAAATTCACATATTTTAATTAGTTATTTTACAAATGCTCTGTTTAAAAATCAGACATTTTGATAATTACAGTAACTATAACAACAGTTCTAAAGATGGCTATGGTGATAATTATTTTATATTCCACCCTATCCCAGTCCTCTGTATCATATATCTCTTGCCAATACAGGCATTATATTCCTTAATTCATTATCCTTGTGTCGAATATAAAGTTTCATCCTTATCAGAAATAAGGTACCAGTAAAACGCAAGGGGCACTCATAAACTGCAATGTCAGTGTTTTTTCCTAAGATGTCGGGTTCTGTTTGACCTTGAAGGAACAGATCCAACAGGTGCTCGTGATGACGTCACGAGATTCAGATGTCAGGGACGATTATTTTGAACACAGTTCTGACTACCGGTGTAATATATATATCGATCCACTCCATGTAAGATATACATATGCAAAATATGACGTGTAGAGTGTGTCCATACATAATTTACATCCATGCCCAAAATTGAAGTATTATTTATGATTTGTTCTTTAATTTGTGTATACATTTCTTACAGAAAAAAAAAAAAAAAAAAAAAGAAAACGATACTTTAAAAAAGTATTGATTTGTGCCAAATACACTACGTTAAATAAAACCATAATTGAAATAGGCTAATTAGAGCAATCGCAGGTCTACCGACCAAAGCACACCTAAATTGTTTTTTCGAAACGAAGGAAATCCATACTGCAGTCGACAAATTCATCACATGATAAAAACAACATATATTTTTGAGTGTGATAAATATTTTCAAACACCTGCAAATTTTGACGAAATCAATTAACAACATATTTTTGAGTTGGTAACGTAACGTTTAACCCGAAGAAATAAACTTTAGTAAAAAGAATACGAGGAGGGAGCAAAAACATTGAGATGAGTAGTTTTCCAGTTGTGCAACTTTACTTTATCTTTGAAAGGGGCCTTCTTCTGTGTTTCTACCTTTCTACCTTTCTTGCGTATGCATGATGGAAAGTAAAACATACTTAAGAGCATATTGTTTCCATAACGCAAGCATTAACGACCATGTGTCGGTAATTAAGTAATTAGACCTGTATCAACATGTAAATTAATGGCCGTTCGCTGTCTAAAGTTGCATGCCATCATGTTGCGATTGTCTAAGTGAAATACAATCTCAATTAAGCAAACATATCGTATATGGAACATCAACTGTAACAGTACACTACTGTTGTCATTTGACCCATTTTATTGTCATTTGGAGTCACGGGGGGTTATAGAATTTGGAAGAAATCAGACGGCAAATAGATATCGTCTGTTCACAGTATGGGGCCCACGTGGAAGCGTGCCGTGAAGGTCAAGAGGTATATATAGGAGGCAACGCAGATTTTGTGGGTAAATGCCGAGCCATCTGGCGAATTTTGTTCAGAGGAGACATTTGGTTAAGATTGATAAAATGTCGTCTGTTTGTAGTTGTCTGATAGTCGCGTGCCGGCATTCATGCGCACGGCACATCCACGGAAGGAGTCACGCGCGGGGCGCTTCCGGTGTGGCTTGTAGCAGACGACTTTGGTTGCGGTTTAGTAACAAAACTCTAATTTTGCAAATAGTTTTTAATGGAAGATATTACGATGACCCCACTGTCACATATAATGTGGAAATGTTACAAATGGTCACCTACCTAAAACACGATAGCTGCAATTCCCATAGAACAGAACTAAACAAATCTCCACGTCTCTCGTTGATCAGCCGCGAGTGTCGGCCATAGCCTCCAAAGCAAGAGATATTACAAATATGCAAAAAATCCGTACGGAGTTGGGGAAACCGAATCTTAGCTCCACGCTCGCCATATATGTAACCAGCACTCCTTGCAGCATTGATCAATAAAAAGACAGGGCATAGCACCCCGTTTCCATATAAAGAGACGGGCTCGGCCAATAGGGAGAGATAATAGTTTTCTAGGAGGAGCAAGCTTTTACACACATGTGCAGCGCAGTGCTCATCTCTACGAGCTAGGACACGGAGCGTTCCATGTGAGAAACAACTTCAACGCGTGTGAGAGTTTGGAAAGGACTGTTGACGGACGTAGCGAGACGAGATGGATCGAGCAGAAGACACTCTGCGCTTTGGAAGGATCTGTTTACACTTGCGCGTACACCGAGACCTCTTCCGTTAAATATTCTCCAGACTATGTTTGTAATCGGCCTCTCAGCATCGTACGGTTGTCTGTTTAAAAACTACTTGATGTGGGTCACTGGAAACGTCGGTCTTGGATAGACCTGTTCAGGCCGGGGATTAACTTTGTTAGATGCTAGCGTTTATTCGTAGCAGCAATATACGCTCTTCACAGACAAAACAAACACATCAAGGGTTCAAATTAAACCGCAGAAATCCACGAGTTTCGTAGAAACGACGTCATCAGTATCCTAGTCTGTCTCAAAGTCCTTGAACCAGATTATTTGCAGCTCCACCCAGCCCTTACTGTAACGTTAAAAGCTCAATTTAAACATGTCTGGGTCTTCTTCGGGTTCAGTTTCTATTACTTCATAAGGGACCGTTAATAATTTATGGCTAGGAGGTGGGGGAGGGGTGGGGGAAGATATGATGATTTTAAGGGGGTCACCCATTTTCTACTGGGTAGGCAGGGGGTGGGGGGTGTTCATCACTTTTGTACACATGACTAAGCGTTAGTCTATTGGCACCTCCTGTGCTAGACTAACATCTAGTCTCTGAAAGGAACATAATTTACAGAAAAAGGCAGTTCAAAAATTATAGTCATAAAATATAATAAACAGATAAAAAGGAGCCCAGAGACTTTCTTCATTTTAAGAAACTGTGGAAATCTGGACTTGCCACATAACTGAGACATGTATGGGCTTTCTTGATATATTTGTTTTAGGGTGTGTATGGCACACTACTCCAGTACCTGAACAGGTCTAACATCAAACAGGGTGATATCACACTGACAAAAACACATCATCGGTGACGTTCATGCTCAGAAATCCATATCAATTCTTTTATTACAGAAGTGTAGGCCATCGGCCCATAACTACATAGGTTGCATTTACATGGCAAAACATGGTGTGTACAGTATAAATTGATAATTTTTAACATCTTAGATACATTGCATGATAGATAAAGCTAGCTAAGTTATTTATGAGATTACAATCTGATGATGACATGAGGAGTTTGAATTTGGCTTTACTCGGATTGATACAATAGGTTTTGAATTTGGAACACACGAGGAGAAGATGGTATTCATCCTTAAAATAACCTTAATCGCGCTGTAAACATAATCTATCATTTCTATCTATATTATAATACCTTCCATATCCATATCATTCGTGGTGTGTGGGGGCGGTGGGGTAGCCTAATGGTTAAAGCGTTGGCTCGTCACGCCGAAGACGCGGGTTCGAATCCCCACATGGGCACAATGTGTGAAGCCCATTTCTGGTGTCCCCCGCCGTGATGTTGCTGGAATATTGCTAAAAGTGGCGTAAAACCAAACTCAATCAGTCAGTCAGTCGTGGTGTGTGTTCATCAAAAGTCGTCTTCCAGTAATAATCTCCTGTACCGACTGTATGGAAACATATTTCCAGCTTCTCATAATTATTGTGCAGTTCCACAATCTACTTATATGTCAATGTTTTGGTTTTTTAAAAGTTGCTTTCGTATGTTTGTTGAGTGTTATCAGTCTTGGGTTCGAACTTAATAGAACTTCGTAACCTTGATCAAATTGCATCTAATCTGATTCTATAGTTTCCTTACACGTACAGTGTTTATTATTGTGACGAGTGATGCTGCCTGTGAATAGTACGGTTGAGAAGCTACGTTAGTCTGTCTCACAGTGCCTGCATCATATTATTTCCATCTCCGCCCAGCCATTATGAATGCAAACTTGATCTCGTCACTATATGGTTGGAATAATGTCGATGTAACGTAAAGCTAAGCCCAACTCTCCTCCCAACCCTTACTGTAATACTGTAAATGATTCAAGTATGTATTTTTCACGGGTTCAGATATCCAGTTTACTGAGGTCACTTTTCAATTGCATATTTCAATCAAAATTAGATATTTTCAGAGACTAAGCGTTCATCTTGGCTACCAAATTTGGTCTGTCTAGTTACAGATATATGAAACATTTCGAACTCAAAGTTTGAGACTAGAGGATATGTGATTTGTTTATTCACCTGCTTACTTTGATCTTACATATTTCAAGATAACCTGATACAAGTTTGCACACCCAGATAACTGTAATCACGTCTGAGTCAGTTTGATGTTCAGCACTGTCTGTCCAGGTGTACGACAGACGATGTGTTTCAACGACAGAGTCGACGGTGTCAGTCATCACATATACGGAATCAAACCAGGATCTTCGATGCAAACAACTGGGCTGTCGTTATTGCTAATACGTTACAATAATACCAGGTACATGTGATCACATCATGATTACGTTATATAAGATTTTCTTCTTGTTGAACGCCCTCCACAATAACAGATATTGCAGCTTGAGTCGGTCTGTAAATAATAGATCATTGAGCTGACAGTCCAGTGATTGACATCATGAGCATCGTTCTACGGAACTGGAATACGATGAAATGTAAGCCAGCGAGCAAGAACATCCAATCGCCTTAGTCGTCCCCTTCGACAAGCATGGATTGCGTCTTATGAATAGGGAGTATTTTCTTTTACGTATTATTGCTGAATATTATATTTTAATCATCCAAAAACATCAGGGAGGACGACACTGGAAATCGAACCCGGGTTTATTGCGAGACGGGCGAACGCTCTAGCCACTAGGCTACCCCACCGTCCCGTATCATACAGGAACATGTAGCGGATATAAAAAAAAAGACTCGTATGAATTTGTTGTCCCGTCACCCGCCATCTTTGTTGAACTCTCGTAGGGTCTCGTGTTTCACCACGTTCTTCACGAGAGTCATTTTTTCATTGTTATGATACCTGTCTGATACAAGAATAGTCCTTCATTGCAAGAAAAACATATTTCCATCTCACTCGATTTAGCTTGGTCTCGCCAAAACATTAACCTCTCCATTTGTTCTAAATTATTACATCAAGGTACACACTTATCATGTTTATTTTGAAATGTTATACCATCTTAAAAGTAAATGGAGCTGGTAGTTCATGATTGTTCCATGACCACATCAGACGGTGTAATTATATCAGCAGTGATGATCAGCGTGGTAATATTACCTAATACACCGGGAAAACACTCTGTAATTAGCAGCACGTTACCCCGTCCTAATTACATACACCGTGAACTGCCTCGCAAGGTGATGCACTGACGGGAGTGCTGTAGTCGAGCTACCTCGCCATGTGACGCATTGTCGGGCGTGCTGTAGTCGACGGTAATTCGATCTAAAATGTTTGTATATCCAGTTTAATATGAGATTCATGTATATTGAGTGATCACTCACTTATAATCTCAGACTTGTTTGATGTAAGTAACCGCTCCTTTATCTGCTGTCGTTGGGTCGGATCAAGTTTCGGCCATTAAGGGATAGTCGCATTTACAGCCACTCGAAAACTCTACACTACAACATGTACCCTTGACTAACGCTTAGTCTCTGAACATATATAATTTAATAGTAACAAATAAACGCATTGAAGTTGAAAAGGAGTCACAATGAGATGGGGAATTCAGCATTTACTTTGTAACTCGACCCCTAAAATGAGTTATGATGATAACAGACCTTGGGCCTGAGGAAATCTAGATTTGCATCATTTAGGGCTTTAGCATTGTAGGGAGGGTTAGTCAGTAGGAAAAATAATGTGGTTCAGGGACTGTGAGACACTACATGTACCCTGACGATCTGACACAATGTGTTCCTTTGTAATGGGTCGTTACCTGGAAATACGATACAATACAACCTGTTTCAATATTAGCTTGCTGAAACAGTGTTGTTTATTTCCTAATCCAGTTCGTTCTCAATATTCACGGAACATATACAGGTTGTCTGTGGTCTTGTTGGTCCCTGCCTGGCGCTGAAATGGCCCTGGAATACTGTTCAACAAGCAGTTAAACTCTACACATACGCATGCACTCACCAATTTCACCTCACCTCACTGAAAAGCAGTTAAACTCTACACACTCACTCACATGGTTTATATCCTCTATGTGAATATGGGGACGGTTGGGTAGCCTAGTGGTTAAAGCGTTCGCACGTCCCACTGAAGATCCGGGTTCGATTCCTCCACTTGGGTACAATGTGTGAAGCCCATTTCTGGTGTCCTCCGTTGTGATATTGCTGGAATATTGCTAAAAGCGGCGTAACACTATACTCACTCGCTCCCTGTAAATATGGGTCGAAATCGAGTATTCTGTATTGTGAATAACAGCTACAACAACTATACAGAGTGTTTTCCCGGTGTATTCCACCGGTAATATTACAACTATAACTGAAAAACCCTCGTGAATCTCTGAGAGAGAGGTTCCCCCGTTTGAGATACACAACTCAACCTAAATCTGGTTTTTACAACTTTAACCCTTACGTCTAATCTCTGAAAATTTCGACAGAAATATCCAACTACATTTAAGCTGAAAAAGAGTCCCAATGCGACGGTAGATTCATACTAGATTGACCGCTGGAAAACCTACACTTGCTTCATCTTGAGATACATCTTCAGGCTGTAGGGAAAGGGAAAATGATAAGGTTAAGGGACTGTAGAAGTGGTTCAGAATAACAGCTGTACTGTCCAACACATTGTATCCACATGGAATTCGAACCCAGTTGTTCGACGTAACACACAAACACTTAAA